CTATATATCCATCAAGCAATTAACGAGCTATTATGTTAGCCGACTCGTTTAAAATACACGAACTCTCCTCCTGGTTACCTGGTTGCTAAGCTAACAGATTGTTTACATCTCTGGGGCAGTTAAACGGCGACGGGATGCCGCGGCTAATCCTCGCGCAAACAGCAGCTCTTTAGCGCCTGCTCACCCCTGCATGTGCTCATTTTCCTCCTCGTTGTCTCCGTCGATGCCGCAGGTGTCCTGGTCGTCCAACTCCAGGCTCTGCTGGCTGGCCGCGGACTCGCTGTCCTCCGCCATCATGAATGAATCTGCTGCAAATCCTCACGACAAAACCACTCAATAAAAACCACGGAAAACAGCACCGTCTACCGATTATTGCCACTAATAGCCCTTGAGATTGTAAATGGAGACACACAAGGCCAACGAGAATAAAAAAAAGCAAATATTTTAACTTTATTATTATTAAAAATGTTTTATGGTTTAATTGTAAAATTATATTATAACAGGCTAATAATGTTGCTCAAGTTTACAGTAGTCTGGTTTACCCTATCCCAAAGTAAACTGACACAATGTGTAATATCACAATTAAAGCAGTATTTATTTGTTCACAATGGAATATATTTTTCTACAAAAAAATTATAATACAAAATAAAAACGTAAAAAGCTAAGTAAAACCACAGCTTGTAATCAAAATATAAATGAGAAAAGAAATAGTGATAGTAGATATAAATAGTAGCAGCTGTTATGTTTACGAGTGAGTTGTGCTTTGCAATGACTGCATTGTGTTTTAACAACTTGTGAGTAGAAGCTGCTCCATAACCAGTTGGTTTTTGCCTTGAAGCTTTAAAACAGTTTCCCAGATGGTAAAAGGGAGAACAGACAATGTTTGTTTCAATCAGACATATTCCAATTAGCTCATTCTGTACTGTGAAATATGAAACTCTTCTCATAGTCTTGGATTAGTGAAAGAGATCGGTATACCTCTCATCATTGACCCTTGATTCATAGCCCTAAGAGTGTAGATTAAATTGAATATCAGTATATATATTACAAATTATATTGGCATATTAGAATAGATATTATTTATTTCATTTAAATATTAAATAATATGACTGGTTAGGGAAAGTCAAGTAATTTTT